CCCTATTGCATTGTATAGTGCAATAAATTCAGGGATATGTCAATACCTCTTTGATGTGAAAGTCAAGTCAATCTTTTGCATGTACAAACACATATGCTCACACAATAGACATATGGTCCTCAAAAATAAGAGGTGTCTATGCTATATATGACAAGATCTTAATCAAGTATTCCAAAAAAATGTAAAGTTTAGTTCTTTATGATGTTTAGGTTTTAAAGCATAAATATAGTGGAGCAGGATCTGCTTGCTCTCACTGAGCACATAAACTCACCCCCAGTTTTTGGGTGGTGTTGGTGTTGCTTAGTCTTAAGTTTTTTCATTTAGTGTTTTGTTTTTCTTTTCTGCATCTTGTTTTTGCCTTGGCAATGTCAGTTTCACTTTGTCTTATCTTTGTAATGTTAATTAATTAGAGAGAATAGACAAAAAATTATGGAAAATTTAAATTGGCTTAGTTCAGTGGATATTTATGACATAGCTAACAAAAAAAAAAAGCTGAAAAAGAAAAGCAAAAACAAAATTCCTTTTCTATAGTCTATTGTCTGATAGTCTAGAAGTTAGTCAGTTTTGCTCCGACGTCCCTGAATTTTAGCAGGCACTTAATTCCAATTTTTGTATTCAAGCAAACCATATAGTGTCTTCGATAGTCTTTGAATTTTATCAATGTGATTAAAATACATTAATCATAAAATTTTCATAAAACTTTAGTGAATTGTTATGATCTATTGACGTAAGCTCCCTTTCGATTTTTATAGATTTAAGATTTTACAATTTCAAGTTAGAAAAAAAGGGGGGATTTTCCGGTTTTCTGACTATAACTCAAAAATGCTTTGAGCAATTTTCATGAAACTTTTGTGAATTGTTTATATACTCTAACAAAATTTCCCTTTCAGTTTTTAAAAATTTCGGAATTTAGTTTTTTTAGTATTGGGACTTTAGAGACAATAACTCAAAAACTCTCACCGATTTTCATTAAACTTTGGTGAATTGTTTTTATCTATTGACGTAAACTCCCTTTTCATTTTTATAATTTATTTTTTTTTACAAATTGCAGAGTTATTGAACTTTATTTGTTGAACAGTTGTTGAAAAATGTCCATTTTCACACTTTGGACGGTTGTAGAATTTTATGTGTTCGAAAATCAAGGCAACAAACTTGTATACACTTGAGATAGCCTAAATCGAGCCAACTTATTCATGTTTTGTGTCAATGGATACCACTGTGTATGCATGTCTTTTTTTTCTTTTGTCCTATTTGAGCAGTGCTCACAGTATTTGTAGTTGATCATTAAATTCATTTAAAGAATAAAGAAAAGCTAAAAGGGCAACAGGCTTATCATGCACTCATGGCGGAGCTTTTTATTAAACACGCATTAACATGATTAATATACATTAAGCAGCAAAAAAATTATTGATGCAAGATGTCATTAAATAATTTTAACCCTTTTTATGTGTAGGGCAAGAACTATATAGAAGATAAAGAGAAATTATAAACAGCAGAAATGATGGGCGAAACAGGATTTGCAGAAGCCAACAAAGCCTAAATTGTAAGGCCACTTCTATAAAAGTTATTGCCCTTGAATGATGACTATTATAAAAATAAGAAGATGTGGTATGTTAAATGAGAAAACTATCAATCAGAGTTCAATGAAAGCAATTATAGGCCAGTGACGGCCTTCAATAATGAGAAAACCCATACCCTATAGTCATAATAGTCAGCTATAAAAGGCCCGAAGATGATGAATTTAAAACAATCCCAACTATAAAACTAGCTGCCTAATTTATAACAAAATAACAAAACAATATACAAAACATAAATATGACAGACATGAAACAACAACAACCACTTAAGTTTAGTGTCAGATTAAACGACTTGATCCCAACTAGGGACAGACACATTAAGAATATGGCGGGATTAATATAAAAATAAGAAGATGTGGCATGATTGCCAATGAGACAATTCTCCACCACAGAACAAATGACGTAGAATTTAACTACTATGGTTCACTGTACAGCCTTCAACAATAAGCAAAACACATACCACATATTAAGCTATAAAAGGCATGTCAAAAATGTAAAACAATTCAAAGGAGAAAGATAACAGCCTGATTTATGTACAAAACAATAAATGAAAAACAAATATGATATACAGCAACGAAGGACAACTACTGAATTACAGGCTCCTGACCTGGAACGAACCGGCACATACAAAATTGGGGGGGGGGGGGGGGGGGGATGGTGCTGGTGAACATGTTTGCTGGTGCCAATTTCCTGCAAAATAAAAACACAGACAGGACTAGGCAGGAAATTTATACATCCCCCAAAACAGAAAAGACACAAAGTACAGATCTTTTAGTACTCACAGTTACTGACAGCTAGTTTAAAACCAATAACAACTTATAATAATAAAAAAACAAGTTTGTGAGCACTTAACCCTTCCCGAACTTAGGACAGTGGTTTAACAGCACAACATAAGAATAAATTGTAAAAAGCCGTTGCCGAGAACTCACAAGTAAGAAATGAAAGTTTCTCAAAATGTTCATAAACATGACAAAATAAGCTTTTTTATTGCTGTTTCTCTCTCCATTTAACATTTTATTTGTTTATTTTGTGTCTTTATAGGTCAGACATCTTGGTTTTCATGATCATCAACAGGTCAATACTGAAGAGGAAACTTAAAGTTGATATTTTTCTACATTGTGCGCTAATTGGATTACTGTGAAATGGAATGTGTGCTTTCCTGCAAAAAGAATTGGGGAATTTCAGAGGAAGATATTTGAAGAACAAATTGCAAAAATGTTTTCTCTAAGAATTGAAGGAAAATGTCTAGTGGATGGAATAATTTATGCACTAAACTCTGACATAGTGGATTGAATAATTGAACACAGCAGCTGAAACAGAAGAAAATTTAAATTAACATGAAAAATGTTTATTTTATTTAATCTGCAAATATGAACACAATATTAAGAACATCACAAATGGTATGATATTCATAAAGGTTGCTTATTAATGTATTGCAATGAAACAATAACAAAGAAAACAAAAAACAAAAAACTTTGCTACAAAAATGTATGAATCAAAATTAAAGTCATATAAAGTATGAACAATACATAGACATAAACAGTCAGACGGTATTGTTTTTGTATGTCATGTTACTCATCAGTCAAAAATTTATTAAAGTTTTAAATATCTTTTGTATCATTTATTCAGTCTAGCAAAAATTATATTCATTCTGTTTGTATTGTTAAGAAATTTCCATAGAGGAAAAATAGGGGTAAACATTTCCTTAGAGGAAATTTGATGTACAGAAATTTCCATAGAGGAAATTTAGAGATCAATATTTTCCTTAGAGGAAATTTGCTGTCTTGAATTTCCTCAAAGGAAATGGTAGTTGAGAAAATTTCCTCACAGGAAATAGAATTTCCTCAAAGGAAAAATTTATGCAGTAAATTTCCTCAGGGAAATCTTTTTCCTTTGAGGAAGAAACAATTTCCCTCGAGGAAAAATCTTTTTCCATTAGGGAAATTTGATTTCCTTTGAGGAAAACAAATTTTCCTCCGAGGAAATTTGTAGAAAAAGGGGCATAACTTTTTCAACAGTGGTGCTAGAGCCAAATTTGTTTAGGACAAATATCAGGGAACCAATACCAACCAAGTTATCAACTTTATTTTGACCTACCTTCAAAAATTAAGGTGACAACTTTTGCACTCAGCGGAATTGCAAACTTGTCTCGGAGACTGTTTAAGCCATTGTGTATAACAATGACCTTAAGTTTTGAAACACAATAGCTGAGCTCGTTTAAAGAAATTGGTAACTTTATTGAGGATCATGTTCTCAGGTTTAATATTTAAGCTAGCACCTCTTTATCACTACAATGTTATTAACTCAAAGCTCATCGTATAACAAGAATAGAACTTTTAGCTTGTTCTCTTAGACTTAATATTTTAAACGCACTAATCATGGGAGAGACCAATAATGTCCCCGTTTATTAATAAAAAATAAGTTGTGTTTAAATAAATTAAAGGAAACCAAATGCTATTTTAGTTGAAAAAGAATGTGAATTTATATTATTTCATCGATTTGCTTAAAGTTTAAGGGGAGAAAGTGATTATTGTGGTTGATATTCTGTAAATGTGTATCTTCGTATGAATAAACAAAATATAAAAGAATCCAGGTTAATAATTTAATATGTACCCGCAGACGAAACGCATTGTTTGGAATTGAAATCCTGAAATCCAAAACAATTGTGACAAATCTAGTTAAAATCATAATATGCAATAGGCAGTGAAATCAAAGGTGTTCGAATGATTTTGATTGATTGATTGATTGTTGGTTGCTTAACGTCCAGTGGCAATGAATGATTTTGAAATTCAATAGAACTTGCAACAGTATTTTGAGGCATTTTTATTGGCAATACGTTATGCACGATCATGAGAATGTTGGTGACTATTATTAGATTTGCTACACATGATGTATTGTAAATCCAATTAGAGAATTCCTATCGCCTTATTTCGACCTTTCAATCTGTTAATGGCCATTATTGGATTGTATAGGGTCACTTCCTTTATGCATATAAAGATATCATAACTGTTACCTCAGCTCGTTTCCATCATGCGTGCCTACTTAAAATTCTGAATGCTAAAACAAGAGATAAACCTTATCATTTTTTTCATCGGTACAGGTAGCCAGTAAGATGCATACGAAGTCTTATAAAAAGATAAAATATTTCCAGATTTTAAGCCAGTAAACATATATAAACATACTAAGTCTTTCCCGTTTTATCAGGTTCATTAATCCAATGTTTTGAACTCTACATATCCATATCATGTATACAGGCAACTAGTTTACTGCCAGAAAAATAGATTATGCTTATTCAATCTCTGTTTATATCCGCACTTATTGTGTGAAATGTATTTCTGCACTTATTGTATAAAATGTATCAAAACAACATGTTAAAGAATCTCAAATAAAGGTTCTTTATCTATAAATAGATTACAATTAAAACTGGTTTTCAAACATTTCAGCTTTATTTAACTTCCTACTGCTCGATTTAATTTACAGTGATTTGATGCTGATATTCATATGAAGACGTTTAAGTTCTTATCGGTACCATTGCTTCTTGAACTTTTCATTATTTTAGGTGAGTAAAATACTTTTTACATCGTTTTTTAGCCTGGCTGCGGTAGAAGGTCTCATACTGTTTCCCGTCCTTCCGTATGTCCATTCGTTCGCGTTTATCCTTCCCATATCAGGTAAATTTATTAGGCTAAGATTAAGTACCTTTTATTTAATTTCATCGTTGATAAAGTCATATGATTTAAAACAAATACTGTACTCAGTTTTGAAATTAACCTTGCTATAAAAGGCATTCAGGCCCCCTAACCAAATCACGTTTCATGTAAATCTGTAGAAAGACAATGTCTTGATTTATTAACAAGTAATTTCGTTCAGTTATGTATGTTAGGTAGTCATTGTGAAATATTATAATTGTAATGCTGGCAATAACTTCTGCGGGAATGTTTATGTTTGTTTTGGACACGAGGCGACATTTATCACGGTTATAGTTACATGTATTTGAATTTAATGATTTCCAAAGACTTTTTGTAATTATTGTTGTATTTTACAAATCTTATTGTTTGTACAAATAAAGAAATGTACCAAAATGCAATAAAACTCCAGATATTCTATAAGAACGCACAACACCATGACGTAATGGTAACAAGGCAGGAAGACAACTGTTCAAAAAACTATTCACATACAAAATGGATCGGAAAATTCCGGCGGTCAGAAGGATTTACGTATCCTGCTCCGTTAGAGTCATCAATCTTTTTGAATTTATCTATGTTTGAACTAATGAGATCGTTTCGAGCATTGAGGAATTTGCTTTCCTAAAATTCCGGATCACTAAATAGTTATTCCAGTTTTGATTTATCAAGAAATTGTCCTCAGCTTACGGTATCAACTAATTTTAGTTCTGTTTTTGTCTTATACCATTGAATTAAACAGATTTGTTCAATTTTAACTTTTTATTATTTCTAACTGTTATGTCAATGCCTACTATGGTATCATGATATAAATTACGAAATATGAAGTAGGTACACGCAAACATAGTTACACTTATGGACCACTTGTTATCACTCCCTTCTTCATTATAGTTCGTATTGCACACTTTGTTGATCAGTTGTGTCTCTTGTCTACAAACGTGCAAGTTGTTTGTGCATATAAAATTCAGAAGAATTGGTATGATTGCAAATGAGATTAATATCCTCCAGAGACTTAGATGTTAGATTCGTGAAGGTGACCGAAAAACTTATATTGTGTTGATTTCAGTCATTCTTTCTCATAACTCCGTAGGAGCAGGTTTTGTGTTAGGCGTTCACCTGTATTAATGAAGTCCGTATAGTGTTTACGTCATGCGCGTGACGTATCAACTGAGATATGTAAACGCCATCAGATGTAGCAGATGGTATGTTACTGCTAAGAAATGAGAAGTTAAAATAACCACTTTGTCATAGATTCTAGTTTGATGTCGTCCATAAGTGTCAATATCTAGAAAAAGATCAATATGTAAATCAGAACTTCTACTTTCGGTTGTATCCTTAATCTCAAGTTCACTGGAACATATGAGATGTAAGCACTCCTTCAAATGTTGGTTATTTAGTGACAATATATCTGAAAGGGAAATTAAAGAATTTTGCAAAAAGTTTTTTCTGTTTGTCCTTTAGAAGGTTCTGTATGAATTCTGCTGCACATATGTACAATAATAAGTCGGTCAAATAGCTGTCCAAATTTAGAAATTCGAAATATAGACTGTCTGATGGAATATTAATCAACCAAACACAACACATATGTTTTTGATAAAAAGAATCTAACATCTTGATGATATCATCTTTGGTGTGTTTGTTCTTGGAATCATAGTGGTACTTTAAAGGAAATATTTTCATGTCCTTTAACAAGGAATTTGTATCTACGTTAAACATCTTGATGATATCATCTTTGGTGTGTTTGTTCCTGGAATCATTGTGGTACTTTAAAGGAAATATTTTCATGTCCTTTAACAAGGAATTTGTATCTACGTTTCACATTTTTGAGCAAAAAGCTCTGTTTATTGAGACATTGTATTCGATCGTTCAATTGAGCAATGGGAATAGTAATGTAAAGAGTAGAAAAATCAAAGGTATTGATATAACTGCAAAATTGTAAGATTGTGATCGAAGTTTTTGAAGTAGATCTGTACAATGTTTTAAAAATACACATATAATTGACACCGCTGGTTGAATGTGCACCATCACAATATTTCTGAGGGACAACTGTTGCTGTATAAATATCGACCTTAATGATATCGGAAGGTCACATGTTATAGATAAGGCAAAAAAGGGTAGGTCCCAAGTTATAGTCGGGTTCATATCATATAGAATGAAACATTTGGTTTACAGAAAAAAAAAAGGAACTAAATGGAGACATAAATGGTATTTTCATAATAGAAAATCAGTCACAATATAGAACTGAACTAGTGAAAACCCTTGCCGATATGAATTCCAAAAATCAAATCAGTGCTTACTGGACTGCCGACGGTCGAATTTTCGTCAACATATCTGAAAACAGCAGAAAGCTAATTATACAGAATTGGCAAGACGTCGGTAATCTACTTAAAAGACCCGTTGCTTCTGACGATCAGCCTGATAATCAGCCAGACAGTGCAAATCAGCAATCAGCAGATCATGACTCATTGGTGACAGTGTAAACATATGATTAATTCTAGCTCTAAAGTTTGATAACTTGATACTAAAAATTAAAGTTACTGTTTACTAATATTTTATTATCTAGACAATATTTATTTAGTTTCATGTCTTGTTCATGATTGATTTACTTATTTTCACGTTTAGTTCATTTTGTTCTGTTTAGCTATGTTTTGTTCTGTAATATATGTTCTGATAACTGTTAATTCGGTTAAACTTTCTTCTAGTTATTTTGATAGCCAGATAACAACCTAGGTCTTTAAAACACTTAAAAAAAATCCCCCAAATTTTTTTTCCACATTAAGTTAACAATTTAAAGTGTCATCTCAAATTGACCAAGTAGCATTTTTGTACATATTGTAAGATCTTTCCAACAGTTGACAAAATTACCGTCTCTCAATCACTCAAAACAAAAAACAAAAAGCAGTGTAACTGTAACATACTATATTGAACGAACAAATGTTCTGTTATTCTTTTGACAACTTTGCTTATAATATCATCTAATCAGCATAATTGGATATTTTTATGGTTTGTAATTTAATAAATCTAGTATCAAAATGTCGATTTCCCTCAAAAGAAGTTTTCAAAAATATACTCAAAGTCAAACAGACCAACCTTGCTCTCAAACACGAAAAAATATTATACCAAGAAATAATAGGATTTGTAGATGTACAAAAATATTTTCCGTGTATATACTGTTGTTTGTAAAAAGTATCTTTGTTTTAATTAAACATTATTGGCAAATTGCCCAGTAGAAAATAATTAAATTCTTTACAAAATTTTTATATAAGCACAAACAATTGTACATAATTTTCATGTTTGATTATATATAGATATCATGTAAAACTGTATATTCAAGTTGCAAGTAAGAAGCGATTCATTTTATTACTAGATATGTGGAGGTTCATCTTTAAACCAACTCTATGTTTGACCTTATAGTTCATGCAACTTGTCTTTCAAATATAACGGCTAGATCATGGTTCACAATGATTTACAAAAATAGTTAAAACGAAGTAAAATTCCATTTTTATCTATCATCCAGTATGACTCTATGCATCCTTCTGATACCCATTTGTTTTTCAAACACCTTTATTTTTTATTTTTCTTGTTTTATTATTATTTCCCCTATTTCGTCGTCTGATGATGTGTGTAAGTTACCAAACAAAAATTGGCTTTGGCTGTCGTTATTCTTCATTTCGGTTACCCCTACACAATAAGGGAGTCAGCATTGAGTATTAAAGGGCAGCCATTGGCTTATTTCATTGTACATGTAGCAAGAGGAAAAGCAGCACATATATTGATTCTCACTATTATACATATTTATAAATACTATAGAATAATTTACAATGCTCCTTCTATGTTCTATCACTATCTTGTCTAGAGTCAAAAAATTCCAAGATTGACATTATCTTTCTGTTGTTTGTACTTCATTTTATATTAATGGTCGGTAATATTGAACCAAATCCTGGTCCAAATGAAAATAACGTATCGAGTACATCCGCTAATGTTAGATTAATTGAAATCGATAAATCCATATCAATATGTAATTTGAATATCCGTATTAGAAACTAGTTAGAATTCTTAAATAATTTCACTGACGAATTTGATGTCTTAGCTGTAACAGAAACACATTTAGATTCTAATGTATCTGAAGACCAATCAAAACTGTCAATAACAATATAAGGAAAGATCGAAACAACTTTGGTGAGGGAATAATGATATCTGTTAAAGATAATATCGGTATTGTCCGTAAGAGCGAACTAGAAAATCCCTTTGATGAAACACTTTGGGTTGAAATACGAGCCAAAGGTCAAAACTTCCTTCTCTGTCATTCATATCGTCCACCGAATGCGGACACTGACTTTTGGGCACGATTAAATCATGCAATAGAAACTGCCTTTCAAGTTAACGAAAATACAGTGGTCACTGGTGATCTGAGTTCTGATCTTTTTAATGTCAATAATAATAAAGTTATTGACACTTTGGATTTGTTCAATCTAAGAAATGTAATTGATAAAACCACAAGAGTTACTGATTAAAGTAGTGCACTCTTAGATTCTATAATAATAAATGACTGTATGTCATATTATTTATCAGATGTTTTAAATATTCCCTCAAAGATTAGTGATCAGCAGTAATATTCTTGAGTGTCCATCAGCAATGTCACGTACTTTCAAAAGAGAAGTGTGGATATATGATAAGATGGATAAAGATGAATAAAGATAAATGTTTGAAAATAATGAATGAAACGGATTGGTATGCACTTCTTCCCGATGACAAGGATGTTAATGAATTATGCGAAATATTTACTGTAACTGTTTTAAACATTGCAAGGGAGTAAATACCTACTAAGCAAGTAACCATACGATAAAACGACATAGTTTAATAGCGAGCTTTATAG